AAAAACTGAACATTTGAAAATATGTGGATTCTAATAGTACTAGAAATTAAACAGTTGAAGAGATAATTGATCAGAAACCAGGTATATAAATCAGATGGTGGTGATGCAAAACCATTGTAAAGAAATTTAGAGACAGCTATTAGATTCTTTCTTCATAAAATAATAAATGCTTACATTTCCTAATAGCTGAAAGTGCCACATATCCTTCTTAGTCCGATCAGACATTAATATGCCAACACCCTCAAATTTAAACTAGCCTCACACAATGGAGTCAAATTTTCTACCACATCTGTATTTACCAAGCTATACATAGGAAAGGCATATGAGTGACTTAGAAGAAATTAATTTGATTGTAATTTTTAGTGAAATAGAATTTTAAAACTGCATATACAAATTTGAACTACATTCTGTAGTTTTACTATTTGTATTAATATTGAAAATTTTCTTAATACTATTATTAGGTTGTCAGTAAAGTGAATGAGTTAGTATATATAATCTGCTAGGTATCAATATTACTAAAGAGAGCACAGCTCAGCAAGATCGGCGTACAAGGGGCATACCTTAATTTAATAAAAGCCATTTATGACAAACCCACAGCCAACATAATACTGAATGGGGAAAAGTCAAAAGCATTCCTCCTGAGAATGGAAACAAGACAAGGATGCCCACTCTCATCACTCTTCTTCAACATAGTACTGGAAGTCTTAGCCAGAGCAATCAGACAAGAGAAAGAAATAAAGGGCATCCAAATTGGTAAAGAGGAAGTCAAACTGTTCCTGTGTGCTGACGATATGATTGTTTACCTTGAAAACCCTAAGGACTCCTCTAGAAAGCTCCTAGGACTGATAAAAGAATACAGCAAAGTTTCCAGATACAAGATTAATGTACAGAGTAGCTCTTCTATATACCAACAGTGACCAACCAGATAATCAAATTAAGAACTCAACCCTTTTACAATAGCTGGAAAAAAATTTAGATACTTAGGAATATACCTTAACAAAGGAGCTGAAAGATTTCGACAAGAAAAACTACAAAACACTCTTCAAAGAAATCATAAATGACACAAACAAATGAAAATACCTTCCATGCTCATGGATGGGTAGAATCAATATTGTGAAAATAACCATACTGCCAAAAGCAATCTACAAAATCAACATAATCTTCATGAAAATACCACCATCATTCTTCACAGAGTTATAAAAAACAATTCTAAAATTCATATGGAACAAAAAAAGAGCCTGCATAGCCCAAGCAAGATTAAGCAAAAAGAACAAATCTGGAGGCATCACACTACCTGATTTCAAACTATACTCTAAGGCCATAGTCACCAAAACAGTGTGGTACTGGTAGAAAAATAGGCACATTGACCAATGGAACATAATAGAGAGCCCAGAAATAAACCCAAATACTTATAGCCAACTCATCTTCGACAAAGCAAACAAGAACTTAAAGTGAGGAAAGGATACCCTTTTCAACAAATTGTGTGGGAATAACTGGCTAGCTAATATAGGAGAATGAGACTGGATCCTCATCTCTCACCTTATACAAAAATCAACTCAAGATGGATTAAGGACTTAAATCTAAGACCTAAGACTATAAAATTCTAGAACATAATATTGGAAAAACTCTTCTAGACATTAGCTTAGGCAAGGATTTCAGGACCAAAAATTGCTTTTGGGTAAAAGCAATTGCAATAAAAACCAAGATAAGTAGCTGGAACCTAATTAAACTAAAGAGCTTTTGCACACCAAAAGGAACAGTCAGCAGAGTAAACAGACAAACCACAGAGTGTGAGAAAATCTTCACAATCTATACATCTGACAAAGGACTAATATCCAGAATCTACAATGAACTCAAACAAATCAATAAGAAAAAAAAACAAACCCATCAAAAAGTGGGCTAAGGACATGAATAGACAATTCTCAAAAGAAGATATACAGATGATCAACAAACATATGAAAAAATGCTCAACATCACTAATAGTCAAGGAAATGCAAAATCAAAACCACAATGTGACACCACCTTACTCTTATAAGAATGGCCATAATCCAAGAATCAAAAAACAGTAGATTTTGGCATGGATGCAGTGATCAGGGAATACTTCTACACTGCTGGTGAGAATGTTTTCGAGTACAACCACCATGAAAAACACTGTGGAGATTTCTTAAAGAAATAAAAGTAGAACTATCATTTGATCCAGCAATTCCACTATTGGGTATCTACCCAGAGGAAAAAAAAAACAAAGTCATTATTTGAAAAAGACACTTGCACATGCATGTTTACACCAGCACAATTCACAATAGCAAAATTGTGGAACCAACCAAAATATCCATCAATCACTGAGTGGTTAAAGAAACTGTGGTATGTATATATGATAGAATACTACTCTGCCATAAAAAGGAATGAATTAACAGCATTTGCAATGACTTGGATGAGATTAGAGACTATTTTTCTCAGTGAAGTGACTCAGGAATGGAGAACCAAATATCCTATGTTCTCGCTGATATGTGGGAGCTAAGCTATGAGGAAGCAAAGGCACAAGAATGATACAATAGACTTTGGGGACTTGGGAGCATGGTAAGGGATAAAAGACAACAAATAAGGTGCAGTATCTACTGCTCAGGTGATGCGTGCATCAGGATCTCACAAATCTCCATTAAAGAACTTATGTAATCAAGTACCACCTGTACCCCAAGAACTTCAGGAAAAATAATATTTAAAAAAGAATTTAAACTGGGGACCCCAAGAACTTATGGAAAAAATAATATTTAAAAAAGAATTTAAACTGGAGACAGTTTAAATTTTCAAGGCACAGTGGCTCATGCCTTTAATCCCAGCACTTTGGGAGGTTGAGGCAGGAAGACTGCTTGAGCTCAGGAGCCTGAGACCAGCCTGGGCAACATAGAGAGACCTTGTCTCTACAAGAATAAAAAATTAGCCATGTGTGGTGACACATGCCTCTGGTTTCAGCTACTAAGAAGGCTGAAGTGGGAGGACTGTTTGAGCCAAAAAGATCAAGGCTACGGCGAGCTATCATCATGCCACTGTGCTGCAGCCTGGGTGGGCAACAGAGCAAGATTCTGTCTAAAAAAAAAAAAAAAGAAAAAGAATTTAAGTTGGTAGGTGGAAGTAGAAATATTTATGTGAACTCATGCCTTAAAAAGAAAAAAAAATCTTTTCTTCCTTTGTTTACTGAAACCCTCCAGACAATGTTCAGGGTCCAAATTGCTTTTACTCAAACTTTTTCCTTCCCATCAAAAAGAACCAGGGCTTACTGGGGGAAAGTCCAATTCCATCTCTGAAGCAGAAAGGAATAAGAGGAATCTAGAAGATCTTTATGTGGCAGGACACTTTCAAAGATTAATAGGTCATGTCAAGGGGACACAGATGACAGCCTAAAAATGGCTCCTAGTAATCAAATTGACACAATTTAGTCTCTCAAAAGGAGAATGGTGGCTGTGATTGAATGAACATACATAAAATCTGATAACCACAGTGATATGCAGAAAGGGAAAAATTAACATATTCTGAAAAAAGGTGAAAAAATAGAATGTATATCCAATCAGTGTTCAATCATTTTGGTATTACTGACTCATTTATTATATGACAAATAAAATAGAATGTAATGAATATAAACACATCAGTTGGAAGATATTTTGGACTCAAAAGATTATTAGTAAAAAAATTGACTCTCTATTGTGACTTCCAAGTAAACAAAATCACATACAATACCCCAAATTCAACCAGACACACATCTAAGTATTTTTGAGCTTTGTGGTCATAAATATAGGATAAATGCAAGATTCTATGATGTGCTCATATTTTATAAATTATACTTCTTTGAATTTTACCTGTCAAAGATCTAGACTCTTAACGTGATATTCCATGAATCTCCTTGAACTTGGATGAGAAAAAATGATTACAGTTTCAATATTAACCTCTACACAAAATTTAACATTCTCTTCAGTTAAGTATGTAGTTTACAAGTCACTAGCAAGATTTGTGTATCATATTCCAATTACTGCAATAGACATTTTAAATTGTGTTAATGCAGAGATATTCAAAGTTATATATCATAACATTTTATAAAAATATTTATTTCCTTTTTAATTCTAGGTACTTAATTTATGCATTTAGCGTTCTGAGAAGGGTGCATACACTTCACCAGACTGCCTAATAATTCAATGCTGAATTTAAGATCAGATTAGAAAACATAGTTTTGTTTTTCTTACTTCATTGTAATATTTACAATAAATTGTAAGTTGTCATTCACGGGTCAGTTTGTTTTTGTCTAAAACCCTGTCCTACCTTGAACAAAAAGCAATTATTTAATTCTTTTTTTTTTTTTTTTTTTGAGAAAGAGTTTCATTCTTATCACCCAGACTTGAGTGCAACCTCTGCCTCCCAGTTTCAATTGATTCTCCTGCCTTAGCCTCCTAAGTAGCTGGGATTACAGGCATGCCCCATACCTGGCTTATTTTGAATTTTTAGTAGAGACAGGGTTTCGTCATGTTGGCCAGTCTGGTCTTGAACTCCTGACCTCAGGTGATCGGCCTGCCTATGTTTTTCAAAGTGCTGGGGTTACAGGCATGAGCCACCATGCCTGGCCACTTAATTCTTAATAACTTCAGGAGAAGTTATGAAGAACTTCCGAGCCCTCACATAGATGAACACAGCCCAGAGAACTGGGTAGGACTGGACATGGCTTTGAGTATAATGAAGAATGAGATCAGTTACAGAAAAATCCTATTGGTCTGAAAATGTCAGCCATGGTTGCATTTTAGAAGACTCGAAAACTTAGGCTATGGAAAAATATGCTTCACACACACGTGGATATGACTGTTCATGGGAGAGGGGAGGCTTTGGTGGTGGAATCTGGGAGTTCTCAGAGGCATGTCACAGGAAACGGAAGAAAAGACACTTCACCTTCTGAAAAACAGAAGGTGGAGATTGGTGAAATTTGATGAGACTGGCTGAAGTAAGAAGTAGAAAATTCATACCTGTGAGGTAGGTGTTGTGCGAGGAATTAATGAAATAGTGAGAAAGGGGCTGAGACATGTCTTCGTTCAAATCCAGTTTCTCAGGTGAAACGACTCCGTTTTCTTCTCCACTCAGATAGCGCATGAACCCATCCACTGATATCTGTCCTGGAGCATATGAAGTTAGAAAGGATGTGAATGCATTCTTTTATGGGTATCAAGTTACCTCTTTTTTGTTTGTTTGTTTTTACAGAAGTCTCTGGTAATGTGCAAGGCAGAAGACAGCAGCCACAATTACATTTTAGTATGGATAAATAAGAGTGTAACATAATCCTACACTCTTATTTGTCCATACTAAAATGTAATTGTGGCTGCTGTAGGAAACTACAATTATTTCCCAGTGTCACAGATAGTAGAGAAAAAATGTAGTTACAGGAACCCCACCAACTTCTCAGGGGATTTAAATAACTAAACACCAACCACCTGTTTTCCAGTATAAGACTGGATATTAATTTATGGATGGGCACTAACATGTTATCAGTGCTTATCTCTGTGTGACAGAATTTGGGGTAATTTTTCAATTTTTTTCTTATTAATATATGTTACTTTATAATCAAAATTATGTACAAGTGGCCTGTAAGCCCAGCACTTTGGGAGGTTGAGGTGGGCAGATCACTTGAGGTCAGGAGCTTGAGACCAGCCTGGTCAACATGGTGAAATCCCATCTCTACTAAAAACACAAAAATTAGCCAGGCATGGTAGGTACCTGTAATCTCAGCTACGCAGGAGGCTGAGGCCAGAGAATTGCTTGTATCTGGGAGATGGAGGTTGCAGTGAGCTGAGATTGCACCACTGCACTCCAACCTGGGCAACAGAGCAGGACCCCTTCTCAAAATAAAAAATAAATAAAAATAAATTATTTACAAGTGGTTTTATTATTTGAAATAATGTGTGTTTTCAAATAATTATATTTTTCTCTGAAACAGAATATAAAGATGCCTACAAATGACTCTTTCCTAAAAATAAAAATTTGAATGCTCATGAAGAAAGATCTTGAAATTTCATATTAAGAATGATTTTACTTCAAACGGAAGAAATATGACACACCTAATTTAGTTTGCTCAGATTCTATTTAGAAATTTCTCTATGTTGTAACCTCTCTGAATTGACTAATACTAAATATTGACAAAATTCTTTTGTCAATTTTATTGCAGTTTAATAGAAAATAAACTATGTATTTAAGGTGTACAACTAGATATTTTGATACATGTATTGAGACAATTCTTTATCATAATAATCTTCATAGATACATAGAATCATCTTGACTATTTTGGTCTATCACCACAATTTGTTTCTTCAATCTTGACAATCACAATTTCAAAACAACAGCACACTTGGGGGTAGTAAAGATGTTGCCAATAAATGTTGGAGTGTAGCGTTTCCTTTTTATCTTGTTGAAACAGTTTTTATTACTATAAAAGTGGAATGTGTTGATTAAAGAAAAATTGGGAGATGAGATAAACAGAGAGGAAAAATAAAACTTGTTTTGAACATCCCTAACCTTTCTTTCAGAGATAACTACTGTTAAAAGATTGGTGTGTATGCTTCCAGAAAAATACCCACGTGTTCACAATCAAAATTCTACAGCTTTATACATTTGTAAGATAGTCATATTTAAATATGACCAAATTTATGTATACATTACAAAATTATATTGTGCCAATAGAAAAGCAAACTGAAGTACCCCTCATTGTGGTAACAGCATAATTATAGATTTCTATAATAAATATGTTACAGAGAAAATAAGTTCTAGAGAATTTGGAAATTATGATTGTGGTCGTGTCCAAAGATTTACATTACCAGTGACAGAAGATTCTGAAACAGGAATTTTCTAATGGTACAATGTATTTAAAGTATGACTATGTTTTTCTTTGTAAAATAATTTTAATTTTCACACCAAACATTTTTATTTGCTTATACAAAAAAAATACAGCTAATGTATTATAATCTCTGATTTTTCAAAACCAGTGTTTTGTATTTTATATACATATTTATATTTGCTAATGAATAAAAATAATTTTTATCAGAAAAAATAACTGTATGGATATACTTCTTTTATGAAGTTGTGATCATGCATATATACACGTACACATAATTATATATATATAATTTAGTAACCTTTGTGTTAATAATATATTATGCATATTTTTATGTAAAAATAAATTTCATTCAGATAATTAACTATAACAAAATATGCAACTATATTTTATGTCATATCTATTTTATATGTAATAAAATATAGCAGTATAATATAAAGTAATATTCTATTGTCATTGGTTATTAAAGTTGTTTCTAATTTTTTTTACTAGTAAATGACGTTGGCTTGACTACTCTGATGATTAAATCTTTGTATACCTAATTATTTCTTTTGGATGAATTCTCAAAAATAGAATTTCTGATTCAAGGACTATGCATATTTTTGAGGATTATGATACACATAACCAATTTCATTTCTGTTAAAGTCCTAGCAATTGGTTTTCATCATGGTATATAAAAGTATCTATTTTCCTTCCCTTCACCCTTGTTGCCAAACCTATCAGTAAAAATATGATATCTAACAATTCTAATTTTTACTGATTTAAACATTATTTATTCTTGATTGGTAAGAGATGTGTCATCTGTAAATGACAAAGCTGGCACTGATTATTTACCACAGTAAAAATCTTTTTACATTTAATAAATTTCTCAAGGTGACTGATGACTACTTTTCCCAAGTTCTGGAAACTCGATAGCTAAAGTGCTTTTACTATTGTCCAAAAATAGAAAATAAGAAAGAAAGTTTGTTTTGGCTCTTTTGATGAGAGGAGCTGTTTCATAAAAGAAAAACCTTTCTCCTGGGCTTGGGCAATCCTCCTGCCTCAGAAAAATAAAGCACAGCAAAATGCAGCTTCAGCCTTCAAAGAGGTCATTCACCCCTTGAAACTCAGGCATGAGCACCTCTAAAAGCTGAGTGTGCATGTATCTTTGTCGTACCTGGGGTCTACTAGATGCTTTGTACACAGCGGGAACTAACTCACCACCTCTTTTGGATAATTATTGTGATTCAACACAGAAAATAAATTGTTTTGAAACTGGAAGGTCACTAAAGACAGCACTATTTTGTTTCTTACATTCTGATTAGGTCACATAATATGAAATTTGTGATATTTACTGTTTTTAAATTATGCAAAAGGCAATTTCATTAAACTCAATCTCTAACTATAGCAGTTCCTTAGAAGGCAGGCAGCAAATGTAAGTATCTTCAGGGTCCAGAAAGGAAAGTAATGTAACTGCTGGATGAATGTGCATACTGGGGGAGTCACGAGGTATGGAAAACTGGCAGGTGTATGCTCCTTGTAAACACATGCATATCATAGCAATAAAATGACTGTGCAAGCTAATACAATGGTACCGGATTTGACCCAGAGGCTTTCAGTTTGTAACTGTTACCTTGCAGTTATGAACTGCAAAAATAAACATCCTTTGGTTTGATCAGCAACTTTTAAAACCAAGAAAAAAAACAACATAGGCCAATAGGGCAGAAATGACAATTATAATATACACACATATGTGTGTTTTATATCTATAGGAAATATTTTATGTATATATTATATATACGTATGTAATATGTATATATTATGCATATATAATTATACATATAATTACAATATATAATTATATATCGATATAAAACACACATGTATATATACATACATATATGCATATATACTATATAAAACACACATATATACATACACACATGTCTATATACATATATACTATATAACACATGTATATAACATATATACATACACACATATATGTATGTGTTTGTATATTTTTGTCAACAAAAACCAAGCAAATAAAACAAAAATCAAAAACACAACCTAGATAGGTATGGCTAAATTGAATACAGACTAGTTAATGTCCTACAGGTCAATTAAACCATAATCTTTTTGGTTATTTTCTCTACCTCTATTATCTCACTGGAATAAAAGATTTTAATATAATTTTAGTATAGATTAAAATCAGTAAACAACAATAATTTGGTGAGTGAGTGTAAGGATTATTTATGATTATATTAAAGAATTTTGAAGTAATTTACCTAACCTTGAATAAGAACAAAGATTGAGTTTGAAGGGCAGGCAGGGAGAATACGATTGCAGACTACAAGTGAGATTCCAGGGATCGACTTTTCAATTCCAAAGCTTTGCCTTGCTAACAAAAGTAGCAAATGCCGAAAATTTCTGATATATTGAATGGTTAGGCAGAGATATGTCAAAGTCAAGGAAAGCCAATAAAATGTAAGGATAAAGAGTAGTCAGTGTGCAATCTTGTAGGTGTCAGCTAAGGGCTCAGGAGTTTACTTGAAAAAATACAGATGTTTTGTCATAATTAATTAGTCTAAAAGATAGTTCTGACTAGTAAAGGCTTGGGAACAGAGAACAAATTCTGAGGATTTTCCTTCCATATAACCTTCAGCTGGAATATTATTGTTGCCATTGACTTACATGTACTAGTCCCTTTTATCAAACTTGCACTGTTTGTGAAAAATTTACGATGTTTTTTTCTGGTCCCCTGAGGCACATAGAAAAATGAAAGAATTAAGATTAAGAACCCACATTGCTTTTCTGAACAAATTGTAACAGCACAAGAAATCCAGTTTTCTTCCACTCTTGCATGGATGTCTTCCAGTGGTATTTGGTCAGGGACAAATTCCTTATTCATAGGATGAGTAAACTTTATGGATGCCTCAGTCTCTCTAGCTCTAAAAGTCTATGAATTCAATCAGGCTAATATATTATGAATTATTTCTAAGTAAAGTAAAACAAAATGTCCCATATTTGAGCAAGATTATAAAACGTCAACCACAATAAAAGCAATGCTATTATTTTCTGAAGTAAAACCACCAGAAAGAGAAGTTGAATTCAGAAGGATAAAGTTAGTTGACAAAGGCTAAAAATAAATTCCCTTACATATTTTCTGAATAATAGATCAATATGTTTCCAATTGGACCTGTCACCCATATAATGGCATTTAAACATACCACTTCCAGCTGAAGTAGGAAAAATGTAAATCCCTCAAGGAATGGAAAACCAATGCTCCTAAAGATGTCAGAAAGATGTCAC